AACATGGCATAGCCTTGTATGGTCAGGGGCAATTGGCGCAGCGCTCCTCCTTTTCCCCTCGCAAAAGTTCGATGTGGCATCGCATGGCAGATTGTGCTCCCTGCTCCGCGCGGCACATCTCCAGGGCAGTCAAGTGTTCTTTGAATACCCAAGCCCTTGCGAAGAAAGCATCGCACAGCTATACATCCAATTGTGCCAGGAACTGGCGGTACACTGCATACAAATTAAGCTGCCTCAAAACAGTGCCTCGCACATTATATGCTCCACACACCCAGGCCTCGCAAGCGCCGCAGAGCAGACAGACCCTTATCAATATCTCTTAGGACTGGTTTCCCAGGAATGCACAGCCCATTTGCAATCGCCGATTCAGCCCAAAGCTCTGCAAGCCTACCTGCCAAGCTGCTTCGTGCCTCGCAGGCCCGCAGTCTGCGACGGAGCTGGCATGTTCAGCACGGCGGATCATTCTGCTAATAATGTCAGTAGTAAGCCCAAGCCCCTCGCTAAACTAGCCAAAGCCTTCAAGCATTACCTTAACCAGCACGGCCTAGTCTCCCATATTTCGCAACATCTTAAGTCTGGCACAGACTCACACCCGCTTAACGATGAGCACCGCGCAGCATTGGCACGCATCATGCATGAGACCATGGCACCAAACACGGACCGTGACCATTTTCTCAGGATTTCAGAAGGACAGCCGTTCCGCCTTACGGCACTGCAATACCTGGCACAAGCCATTCAGGATAAAGACGCACAGTTACCCATCATCCTTGATGAAGGAGTACCCACAGGCGCATTCGGAGCCTTGCCCAGCAGCGGCCAGTGGCCTCCGACGCAAAGCTCCTTGGATTTCTCCGAGGACTTCAGCCCTGCCGCGCTCGAGCACTGCAGGGGAAATTGGCTCCTTGCCGAAAGCAACCCCGCACTGCTCCAAGAACTGTTTCGTTGCAAAGTTTGAAGGCACTGAAGAAGACGCAAAGCGCCGCTGGCCACAAGGCACAGCCATAGGCAAATTGAACATTGTCATGGCAGAAGGACGGAATCCCCGCCTCGTCTTAGACAGCACTGTATGTGGCCTCAATCCCGCAGTGCATCTTCCTGAAAGGGTGTCACTGCCGACCGCATCAGATGTGCAACGCACCTTCTTGTGTGATGACTGTTATGCACAGCTTCATGCCTTGTCGCTCGATTTCAAGGCAGCGCATAAATGCTGCAAGGTACACCCCGCAGACCAAGGCACATTGCTTTTTAGGGTAGGCGACGCATTGTACTACTATAAAGTATGCCATTTCGGAGCGCGATTCAGTGCATACTAGTGGCAACGCACGGGCAGCCTTTTGCTCAGATGCATTCACGCACTGCTCTGCGACCACCCGCACAGAGCATGGTTATATGTTGATGACCTCCTCGCTCTGCTCCGCACGTCAGACAAGGACACTGCCTCTGCGTTAATTGTTGCATTGCTTTCGGCGCTTAACGCGCCTCACATGGTGCGGATGGACCATACGCACCGACGCGGAAACTATTGAGCTCTTTGCAACGCAGAAGCAAAGTACAACGCAAAGAACTTGAAGGAGTTTTAGGTCTACTTAATTGGGCTACATCTTTAAGCAAGCACATGCGGCCCTTCATGGCACCGCTTTACAAAGACTTGCGTAGCTGCAAAGGTACCCTTCATAGCATATCGCCTAGCATGTGGGGCAACTTTCTAGACAGCCTTGATAAAAAAACGCAAAGCTTACACGCACACCAGTAGGCACCTGGCTGCCACGCAACGCACAGCTTCTTGAGGTCGGCAGTCTCAAGATCTCCAGCAAGGCGGACGTGCCTCTAGTACCGCCATCACACAAACATCAATGGCTGAGATTAGCAGACCCGCATCGCTCTGAAGTGCACTAAAGACATGAGAGCAAATTTGTGCTGGCCTGGCTCCAGCATTGCTTTTCGCACGAGCAACCTCGTTCTCTGCGAACTGCACCGCGCATGCACTGCTACAGCGCTGCAGACGCATTCGGAGACACGCATCGCATGGGCATTGGAGGTTAGATCAGCACATCCGACTCCTTTCTTTGGTTCGGCCGAAGAAGTTCGCAAGCAGTGGCCGCAGTTGCAAGGTATTCTGCAGCCATATATTGGCTGCTTTGAGGCACTGGCACAGCTTGCCCTAGCACAGTGCTCTTGGTAGAAGCAAACAATTCGCTTCGTCGTGCCCACAGCGTCGGACAACACCAGCGCAGAGTTCCCGGTCTCAACAACTGCAGGCCCCCCTTGGCACTTTTCTCCGACTTGTAGCCACTTGGGCGCACCTGCACCGCGTGCAGTTCGAAGTCGAACACCTCGCAGGTGAGAAGAATGTGTGGGCCGACAAACTTAGCAGAGGTTCCACCGCATTCCTTCAGCATCGCACGGCTGATAAGGTGGAAGTCACGCTAGCTCAGCTGGCCTCCGCATCGCATTGCGTCACCTTGCATGATCACGCATTGACATTCTCTTCGATTGATAGTGCGCTCACTGCTCATCTGTTCTTTTACGTCCTGCCTCGCTAGGTACACCCGCCAACTCGCGCGGTGGGGGTTTTCCAGGAGAGGTTGCCAAAGGGCACCTAAAGAGGGTCGGCATCGCTTGCCGCTTCCCGCGAGCAATGCCTCGCTCTGCACTGCACTTTCGAGCAACCTCAGTTCGCACTGCGTGTTGCCTTGAGAACAGTTAAGAGAACGCCAGTTGTGAGTTTGTGTTCAACTGTGGCTTTATTCTGTGTCGAAAGAACTCAAACGCTCCGCGCTGCTTTGGCACCAGCACTCACAACTAGTGTTCACGGGCTTGCATCGCATGCATAGCAATTTTTCACCCACCCTCCACGCCCTTGGGGGATAGCTCGGCATCGCTTGCCGCTTCGCTTTTGGCGAGCAATGCCTTGCTCTGCACTGCACTTTCGAGCAACCTCCGCGGAAAAGAAGTGTTCGTGTTCGCACTGCGTGTAGCCTTGAGAACAGTGAAGAGACTCTTTGGCTGTTTTCATTGGGCGCCTCCGGCAGTGATTCGAAGCCTCTGGCGCCGATCAGCTTGTCACTTCCTGTGGGTTGGCTTCGCCTGGACTTGTGATTGTGAGCTACGAAGGAACAGGTCAAAGGGCTGAATTTTGGGAAAGTTGGAGTGACGGCTCCTTCCTGGTCAGCTGGAAAGCCAGCCCAGCCGTAGTAAGAGTAGTCACTGAACGGCTTACTGACAAACAAAGTCCGCTCGCTGCAGTCTTCTTGTTTGTCTTCCAATCGGCTGCGCTTACTGTTGCTGTGGTTTCACAGAGTTTTGTTTTTTGTTGGGTGGTTTGCGCATTTTTTTAAATTTTAGGGACCGAGCTGTATCAACGCCAAAACAAGACTTCGAGAAGAGAGGTGGAATTGGATTGTCTTGAACTCCACTTTCAAGTTGAGATGGGAAGACACTCCGAGCTTGGAATCTGATTCGATTCCAACCCGAACCATGCTTGAGTTGAAGTTCTGCTGTTCTCCACCGTCGTCGACTTGGTTGACTACGAGACGCACAACCGCAGGACTTGTATGTAGAAGGTTGCAATGCTGCAGCGGAGCCAGAGTCGCTTGCTTACTGCAAGCTTCGTCTGGACTTGGTTTGGCTTGACCATCGGAGCACAGAGGCGGTAGCCGTCTCCACTGGGCAGAGGTTGGAATTGGCGCCAAGAAAAGGGTTTGTTGGCAGGTCTTTCTGTTTGGCAACTTCTCGATTGGTGTTTTTTGAAACTACGCATTGGTGAGTGTTTAGGTGTGTGTGTTTTCACTTGTATTTTTCATTCTTATTTTCTTTGCTTTTGCCCCCTGAAGCGATCGTGTGGCTTTTGGAAAACGTTTGATTGATATTTTTTCGATAACACAGTTTGATTTCTTTCGTTTGCTTTCAGCCCCCAAAAGCGATTTCGTGCTTCTTCTTCTTTTTTGTGCTGAAAACTTGTTGTAGATTTTTTTACTGCTTGTTTTGATCGCAGCGTCGTGTTGAAAATTTTTTGGAGCGCCAGTCAGTTTGGCAAAGACTTCTTGAACAGGGTTAATGTTGTGTTTTCCGAATGTTTTGCTGGTTGAATTGTCATTTAGGTCAATGTGGATGTTTCAATCATGTTGCCAGGAACCAGTGAGCTGGAATTCTGTTCGTTTCATGCGCTGATGACATGAAACATGGCATGTTTTCCGACTCGGCGAACCGATGCGTTTGTTGACAAACTCTGTCGATTCCATTGCTGATTGAAAGTTTTAAGCATAAACGGGATTTGAATGCCTGGGCCAAGTCCTCCCCGTCGCTGAAGGCCCGCGCTTCGTCTCTCCAGCGTTTCTGGCCCCAAAAGTCACCTAGGCGAAACCGTGCGCGGCTTCCATCGGCCATGGTTTTATCGTTCGACTCCTGGGCCACCAATTGTTGTCAAGTTGTGTTGAAATTCGTTGCATTCCGTTTTCGAAAGCCAAGTTTGTACATATCGGAGCATTTCTGTGCAGAAACGTGGTGCAAAATTCGCATCAATATTGGGACAAAAACGTCAGTGAGAATGCACCATCTGGCACATGTTATGAAGACTATAAGGCGAGTGTGGCAACATGCACGACGTCCGCAAATTTGTCCGGTTCGCTTTCATCAGTATCATTTTCATCGTCATCATCGGATTCATTATTAACAGTATTAATGTCTTTATGATCGTCAGTAACATTGTCAGCATTGTGGTTATTGTTGTGAGTGCTATCACGATCACTATGACATCTGCCAAAACTATCATCACCATCATGATCATGTTTCATCGTTGTGTTTTTATGTCAGTCACGACAAAGTAGGGTTCACATACCTTCTGTCATTGTAACTGGTCAAGATGTAAATTAGGTGTTTTTGTTTTGTTTGTTCCCTTCCGATTGTTTTTCCATGTTTTTCCCACGTGTGATTACCCTGCATGTCGCGTTTGCTTTCCAAGCGTCAAGCCATGTTGGTTTATCAACGCACATGTGGCCTGAATGCACCCAGCTTATATACCCGTTTCACCGCCTCATGTCATTGGTGCAGTATATCCGTATCCCAGAAAAGCAGAGACGCTCCCAGCTCAATGTTTGCAGCCCGAGACTGAATGGTCTCATATCCGGGCATTTCCTCAATTGAGGCCGAGCCGTTGTGTTTTACGGCTGACCGTGCGCGTATTGTCGGCAGCAGGAGCGCCCGGTCACTGCGCCTTCTTGTGCGAGACGACCTGAGGATTGGTTGGAGGCAGTGATTCGCTTGTGCACTTCGCGTGTCATGTCAACATGCAAGCCAGGTGAATGATCTGGTGAGCAATGTTTTCGGCGAAGTGCCAGCCTGTGAGTTCGGAAAACAATAGCAGCATGCATGTTCCAGATGGTTGGTAAGGTTATCAGATCAATCCAGACCGATGCCCAGCACACCAGGTTGATCTGGCCTGAGATGTGCCGTGAACCTTGGTAGTATGTTCCATTCTTGCGGCGAAAACCCCGACTGAGCTTTGTCTGCCCCGTTTAGTACACGCAAGGCCACCAAGGCCGCACACGGCATGTGCTGGCGTGCAAGCTATCCCCGTGCGAGCCCAAACTGATTTGCGATGAATCTGCAGACAATATTCCCGCTTGACCCACCAAGGTCGTTCTTCCCGTCGATCCTTTGGACGCCGATACCGACGACGAAAGCGACGGGGGCTCTCTAGGCTTGTCATTGTTGTGACAGGGCCACAAAATATTAATATTCACCACCAGAGGACTTGTCCTTCTGCTGTTTTGCAGATGTGGAACATGACTACCAAGATGTTGCTGGGTTTCAGCAACGGGTTGAGATCTCAGCCTGGATTGAAAGATTGATGTTCCATGTGCACATGACGTAGCTAAGGCGAGGTCTTCGTTCGGAGCCGCGTCAAGCAGAGGCCAATTTGTTCAGTTTTGTGCTTGGCATGTTTCAGTAAGGCTTGGTCGGGGGGTCCACTGTTGTACCCCTGCAATTTTAGATTGCTGGACGAAAGGCGAGTGGTCGACAGCGCGAAACGCTTCGTGCAATGTGGACCGCGAGGCTTTCGGAATTTTCACACTTAAATGGGGAGAGTGCAAGTGATAGAGACTAGAACTCGATGTTCGAGGTGACCTCCCGGCCGTTATCGTCAGGCCAGTGTCCAGTGACTTGGATGTTGTTCGATATCTCTGTTTGTTTATGGCAGCTGGCAGGTGAGTGCTTGCTGCTGGCTGGAATGAGAGGATTTGCAGCCACAGCCCGACAGGTGCATGGCTGGCAGTTGTCGGTTTCAGAAATGTTCGTTTCTGATTATCGACGGAGGGCATGCCGTCGAAGCTTAGCCACGTCGAATCTGGCAACAGCGCCAAATCCAGTTCAAGGCTGGACGGAGTGTGGACAAAGCAGTGCCTTTTTTCGACATTTCAATGTTCATCATCCTGACAGCTACTGTAAGCCATCAAGGGAATACTTTCCAGTCTGCAGATTCGTCATGCAAAGCTTTGCCTTGGCGCATTCCACCTGCTGCATCCACCTGTACTCGAAACTCTGCCGTCAGAGAAAATCTAAAGGCGAACTCACAGGGTGGCCTCGCCAGGAATACTGGCATGCTCGCAACTTTGTAACTCCTGAAACCTGGCCTGCAGTCAGGCCGGCGCAGCTAGGGTCCTTGCCGGCTTCAATGAGCACAAAACTACCCAGGATCGCTTTCTTCGGATTTCCGTGGCAGAGTGGGATCTGCACGTCTTGTGCTACAGGACGAGCATCCTCGGAAGTGGAGGCCAGGCCGCAGGCAAGCTTGTGAAGTACGATTCTTGTCGTAGCACAGGCTGTGGACTAGCACCGCGAGCCTCCAGGAGTCGCAGCATGGAAGCTAGACTTTGTTTCATCGAGTTTGCCATCCGTCAGTTGGCAGGTTCAGGTCGCACGTTTCCTGGAAAGATTTCTTGCCTGCGCGATCGTCAAGAGTTCCAGGCCTTCGCAGTCAACACTTCAGTGTGTGGATCTTTTGTGCACTGGCGAAGCCTCTCACATGTTAAGATCGTTCGAGCCCTCGGAGAAGCACGCTGAAGACGGCAAGGCGAAGAATCACTGCTATGATTGATTTTAAGAACATTGCTGTGAGGGAAGATTCGTTCTGCGGGAAAGATAGAGAAGTGCGTGTCCGTGTACACATGTGCGGACAACTTACAACTTGGCCAATGTTGGGTGTCTTCACTTGTAGGTCTTCGTGCGGCTACCCGGAAGCCGGCGTCGGCGGGCAGTGCACGGAGGTGCAGTGTGTTCATCAAAAATATGCCCCAAGTCTGGAGAGGGGTATTTAGAATGGCATGGTTCAGGCATCGGGCCCGTGCTGTAATTCTCAGCAGAGCATAAGGTGAGAGTGGCAGACGCTGGAGTTGAAGAGGACTTGGATGTCATAAGTGCCCTTACAGAAGATGTTTCAACTTTTTGCAGTTGCTCTTAGGACCGTGCCATCGGCGAGATCGAGCAGCATCAGCAGACGAAAGGCGACAGCAGTGCCAGTTTTAGAAGTTGGAGATGTTATGTAGTACCTCTTCAGGTCCGAAGTACCGTGTTGCTCCTGGTGGCAGCCGACCGGTCGGTGGGCCTGTACGACAAGAGGTCAGACGGTTCTTGCTTGCGTTCGTTTCTGTTTTACTGAGCGAAGTAACAGCTGTCTTTTTTTACATTCAAGCAAATGTGAACACACCAGGAAGGCCTGATCTCTTTGTAGCTGAAGTCCAAGGGTTCAGAGTGAATTTCTTTCAGGTTAAGCAGTTCGTTGTCCTGGAGTTCCGCTCAGAACCGCGCTTTGCCCGGCATCACCAGCAGTCGAGGGCTTGATCCGGTTGAACATGACCCTAAGGCGAGTGGTGCCTTCGCGTCGGATCCATGCCAAGACACGGAAGGCCAACCAAAACAGGGGCATGGACACCTTATGTTCGAAGTTCGGCCAAGAATGGCAGTTCTTTAGCGGATCCTGTCCTAAACGGCAGGGTATTTAGCTTCCATGCTCTGCTTGAGATCTCGCCAGGAGTTTCGCAGTCCCGAGATTACTCGCGCAGTCCTCAGTCAAAGAATTGCAGCTAGCACGGCGAAGCCTGCTTGACGTCACTGTGCAATACCGTGAAGGTCAGAAGCAGGACATAGCACTGCAGCACAGGCAAGACAAGTTCAATTTTCGCCGATGGGAGACAAGAGAGAGAGAGAGAGAGAGAGAGAGAGAGAGAGAGAGAGAGAGAGAGAGAGAGAGAGAGAGAGAGAGAGAGTCCTTCCTGCCGAAAAGGGGGGGAGAGTGAAGTAGGGAGGGAGCTTTGCGGGCGTTGTTCCAGGTTTCGTCCACACGATGCGGCATGGGCACGCGAAAGAGAGGCATGTCGGAATGGCTGAAGTGCGCCATGATGTTAATGGAGCAGGAGCGTCATGCTATGCTGAGTGGCAGCATGATCAGTATGAATGATGGACCAGGCATTGGTGCAAGTGTGAGTGGCATGGTGCGTTTGTGTTTGTGCTGAATTTGCAAGTCTCACCTTGGTACTTGACTGTTGCATCGCCATGAAAACCTTGGAAAGTTGCAGCAGTGCTGGGTTCGAAGCAGTCCTGTTGTGCTGTGGGCATGTTGGTGAACAAAGTATTTGGGTCAGCTCAAAGGAGCAGTGGCTGAACAAAGCCACGACGCTGCAATATGTCCGAGAGTCTAAGGTCACACCGGTCATGCTCAGATATCCGACTACAGCTGTTCTGGCTCTGGGTGACTCCCAGAAAGCTGGGCAGGGCCCTGCGCAGGGCCATAGCTGGTGGCCCAGAGTCATCATGCGTTTGGGAAAGTGTCGGGGCCGAATCGCACGTGGGAGGTTGCAACCAGACCGGCAACATCAGCGCGAGTTGCCAAAGTGTTGTCGTTGGGGACTTATGCTAGCATGGCAGGGCACTGCCGTGTTGACCACGTTTCCTGATACGTCGAAGGTCTCAATCGGTGTGGAAGCGTCATGCATATGAATGGACAGCCAATGGTGCGGTCGACGTATTCCGTTGCTGCGTGTGGCCGGCGGGGCAGAGAGCTTGACTTGTTACGTTGCATCAGGCCTATGCTGGACCTCCTTTCGGGCAGCCGGCAGGCCCATCTGCCAGGCGTTGACCAAAGCGTCCCACCATCTGCCATGCAGGCTACATGCCTGTGGCTCCAGCTGGGGATGAGTACGGGCCGCCGCAGCCAAGCTACTTAGGGTGCGGACCAGGGCTGTGCTGCGGTTTAATACTGCTCCCGGGATGCCATATTTGTCGTAGGCAGCATATGACCAGGCCCTCTGAAGGCCAGCCCAGTCCCGGGATGGAAGGCTGGAACTTTGCGGCACATTTGGGGATGTTGTCTCAAAAATGTGTCAGGCAGCCCCAGCTCCTCTTACGGAGCAAGTCCTGATGGCTCGTCCTTGCCCCAGCCTCCTTGGCCCTGCAGAGATGTCTTCAGCATTCGCGCTTTTGAGGTATGGAGACATGGGCTCAGGCCAAGCCCTGGCCTCTAAACGCTCTTTGGAGACTCATGGCCGACAGGCATGGTGGGGGACATGGACTACCAGCAGTTTACAGAGGGTGCGGGCAAGACGAGTGCCTCCGGAAGCCGGCGCTCTGAACGGCTGCTTTGCGGTTTGCGACTCCGCTGTCAAGCTGCAGGTCCCAAGGACGGCCTCCAAAAAGTAGATCCTGATTCTGGAGTTGGCCCGAGAAGATGCACAGATCTTGTTTGCTGAAGCCTAAGAGCGTAAGCTCTGTTTACCTTGCGCACAGCTCCCTGTCTTGGTGCAAATCGCAACTTAGGTGTGCTGTTGTTCATCCTTTATTTGGTTGTCATGCTGATCTTTCTGACCGTGGTCAAAAATGGAAGCGTTGTCGACGACTCAGTCGCAGGGTTGATGCGATATGTTTGTATACCATCAATCATCGCAACAAGGACGGACGCGCCTATTCGGATGTTCGCCGACTGACGCATGGAATGGACTTTGAGGCTTGGAAATTGGAGGAACTGCGTCAGTGTACCTGCAAGGAGGTGTTCATGTTGCTTCCAGGCTCGTCTATGCGGGGTCGACGACGGTGTGGAGGCTTGACATATTCCATTGCTAGGGCTGCTAGGGTCTGGGAGTTTATGACTTCGCAGGAGAAGCCCTTCGTGTTTTGGTGTCGAGACGATCCCTCGGAGAGGGAGTTTAACACCACTCCAGCGACGTGCGCTTGCCAAGACTTCAGCCGGGCATGGAAGTCAGTATTGGCAGCTTCAGATCGTGAGGTTGAACCTGAAGCATCCTGTTTGCATTCAAGAATGTCCTCGGCTGGCTGCGGGTTCGCAGTCGGGCGCTGAGAGGCATGAAGGACGGCTAGGAATCTCAAACGCAAGCCATACTCCCGTTGTTCACGGCTTCGAATGTCAAGACATGTCTTGACAGTGTCGTCACTGAGGAAATCCATTCCGACAGCTCAGACAGTTTGACTGGTTTGATTGTGTTTGCATTTCACTATCTGAATGCTTTGGATTTTGGATACTGTCTTGTGACCATGGGAGCTTAAAGGCTTAAAGCGCAAGGCATGTCCCAGGTGATTCATGTCGGACTTTTGACATGTTCTGCGTATTTCGGTTTAAAGACGGCGCCGTTGTGTGCACTACAACCGTTGAAAACCCAACTATTTCCTTCACAAACATGAGTTTTGTGATGCTGCATTCGAGCTCATTTCGTCTGACACTTTCAGGATGTAACTGCGCTGTTTGGGCAGCAGGTCGAAGGAGACATTTTTCGGGCCTGGGCGCAAAACTGTACGGGAGCCCTCGCACTGGCGAAACTCGCCTGCGACGCATGATCCATGCATAGTGTCGACTGGCCGGGGAACATTTCTGGGGAAACATGTCAGGTTTCTGTGAATCTGGCGAGTGCCTTTGTTGATGCTTTGGGAGGGTGTTGTGACAAGGGCGTGCAGTTGGGCACAGAGGCCGCTCCTGATGCTGCGGGCGCTTGCACGCTGTTGCTGGTCTGGTCTTAGAGATGTTCGGGTACATCATGGTTATTCACATGCGTTCGTGTTAAGGCATGTGGTGTCACTCTGCCATCAATCGATAGAGATTTGTTGCTAGAGAACTACGTAGACCGATTCCTGAAATCAGAAACACTTGGCGCCACGCTTCAGAACAGCGCTTCAGAACAGAACAGGAGAATGCAGACTTTCCATAGAGTACGTATCTCCTGATGGGCGAAGGGTTTCTGATGGGATCTTAAATAAAGCAAGGATGCAAGGCAAACTTGTTGTGGGCAAAGGGCTTCGTTTTTGCAGCTGTTCGACAAGTCGAGAACACAAGAAGATCATGAAGAGAAGGAGGAGGACCAGCAAGAAGAGAAAGAGGCAAAGGTAGCGGAAGAGGACAAGAGAAAAAGGGAGAGGTAGACGGACAATTTCATAGCAACAGTGTGATCGCAAGGCTTGGGCCGAACCAGGTTGAGACAGCCTGGCATGATTAACCCTCTGCGGCTGTGCGGATCCGCTCAAATTTAAAGTTCCCACGAACATGCATCCGACGCAGGTGTCTGATGCGAGCGCAGGGCAACGGCCCGGCGTACGCCATCGAGCCCGTGCCGAACATTCCAGGCAATCCGACAGCATATGTTTCGTTTTCAAGCGGCATTGAAAAAGATGAAGAGGTGGCCAACTTGGCAGTGTACAGAACTACTTCTTGATGTTCCGTGAGGAGACCGTGTGAAGTTCTCAGTTGCTTCCAGATTGCAGGAGTGCGCTGTTCACATATCATGCGATTGCCACTCGCGTCTTCACGGAACGTCCTCAAAGCCTTTCTGGGAAAGGGAGTGCTTCGGTCGGGTTGAACGTCCGTGTCTGTTTCTCGGCTCGAGTCGAAACAGTCCATCTATATCTAGCTCCATTCAACCCGGACGTGTGTCGACAGCCGCAAAGGCTCTTCCGGTCCTCAAATCTGCTTCGCATCTAATCATGGTGAGGCTTCATTCATCTGCAAACTCGCTCATGCCTGTCCTTTGAAGCCCTGTGTTGGTGCTTGTCGTTTCGTTGCGTCGTTGGAATCCTGTTCACTGCAGAGGGCCCACATGGCTCTCAAAGCTCTACACGCGCCGTAGTAGTCGTATGACCTGCTGAGCAAAGAAGATGTTGTCCAACTGCAATGGTGCTGCACCGGGAGCAGGGGGCACGCGTTGCAGCATCGATCGTGTCTGTGCCGTGCTAATCAAGATCGAAGCTACGTACGCTGCAAGATGGCAAAGTCGTATGATGCGTGCACCCGACAGTGTAGCTCGAGAGCTCGAGGTACTCCACGACTTATGACTCAGAACTTCTGGCCGGACGGTACTGTGTGCCGAAGAATGGAGCCTTGAAGGCCATGCGGTGCTGTCGGACACTGGACCTGTCAGTCAGTGGTACTGGCAGGCAGAAGTGCTCGGAGGGCCATTGAGTCTGGGTGAGCGTCTGCTGGGCTCTTGGACAATTCCTCTTCGCGCATCTCCGCTGAGCAGTTTCCGTTGGCTGCATCAGGCAGAAAGGCGTCGGAAGCTTTCAGGATGCCGGAGTTAGGCAAGTGCACTGTGTGTCTTGTCATTGTTGTCGCGCCAATGAGGACTGCTGGACGGTGATGTTTTGCACTGTCCTCGTGGCCGTAGCTCTCAGTTTCGTCTACGTTTGGGTTGTCGTATCATTGAAGGCGGGCCATTGTGCTGTTAAGGCAAGCACGTAGAAGTCCAGCAAACCTCCATCGTCCGATGTGTTTCAGGATGCAGGTGTGAACATCGTCAGCTTCGTCTTGGTACTGGTGCACCTCTTCCTGTTGGTGGTCAGCATCTTTTGCTTTATGGCTGCCCCGACCCAAGGATGGTCAAGCGCATTGTCGCTACTGCTTTAAACCCGCGCACATGTCCAGGTATCCTCCGGAAAACCTATCTTCTCCGAAGAGCAGTATATGGACGAGTGCTTCTCATGTTCGCCGCACTCGTTTTGCATCCTG